CATATAAACTCCGAATCTGGCATTTCTTTAAAATGCCACTGTCGTCACATACTGCACGTTAGAATAAAAAGAAATACTTATCAGATTTGGTCACAGAATTAAATATTATGTATGATCGGTAAATATAACGACGTCACGTGTCAGTTAGAGGTTATAATGCAGTCCTATTTTACTCAGCACTCCTGCAGCTGAAAATATCAAAAGTTATCAAAATGCTACGACGTTTTGTTTCAGACCACTGATATCAGCAATTTCAAACTGTTTAACATAATACTGCTCTAAAACCAAACACACAAACCTGATCATAAGCATGTCAGATCACTGATATTAAACACTTTCAAAACAGTTGACATATGATTGGTTTAAATTTAACTTAAAACGCAAACCAAATCTTATGTTAGATCACTTATTTATATCAACAACTTTCAAACAGTTTGACATATTATTGGTTTAAATTTAACCAAACACATGAACCGAATCTTGAGCATGTCAGATCACTTTATGACAATGAAAATAAAATACAGCTGTTTTCATCTGATCGGCTGTCATACTGCCATCACCAAACCTAAAATACTTATTTATTCATTTTATCTAGGCAACATAACAGATATAACATCAACAGCAACAGATATAACTGATGTTGTAACAAAAATTCTAGACACAACAGTGGATTTGACAACTGAAGGTGATGATGCAACAACAGATGGTGTTATGGAAACAACTAAAGGTGATGATAACAACAGAAAATCTTGTGGGAAACAACAATGCAATTGAAATAACAACAGTTATCGATAAAACATTATTCGTAACAACAGAATCTGAGGATGCAACAACTGAAGGTGATGATGCAACAACAGATGCAGTTGAATTAACAACAATAGTTTTAGATACAGCAATGTTTGCAACTACAGAAGGTGAAGATGCAACAACTGATAGTGTTATGGAAACAACTAAAGGTGATGATGGAACAACAGAAAATGTTGTGGAAACAACAGATGCAATTGAAATAACAACAGTTATCGATAAAACATTATTCGTAACAACAGAATCTGAGGATGCAACAACTGAAGGTGATGATGCAACAACAGATAGTGTTATGGAAACAACTAAAGGTGATGATAAAACAACAGAAAATCTTGTGGAAACAACAGATGTAATTGAAATAACAACAGTTATCGATGAAAAA